GGGGGGGGGGGGGGACCGCGGCCCAGCAGGTACGCCAGCCACAGAGCGTACAGACGCCGCCGGGATCCCGGGGACCCCGTGAGCAAAACGGACGGTGGCGCCGGGCCAATGCCGAGCTAAGAACTGGGAATAGCTATTTTAGGCTGAGCCCAACCCTGTTTTGTGGTTTTAAATGAAAAACTATGCTACCTGCTCCTATCGAGACGTTCTTGAGAAATCATTTTTGACAGCTAGTTTCTCTCGAAACGCTAGCAGCCCGAACCCGTGACAGACACCAAACGCGTGTAAACGCGCCAGCGTTCACACACACGCACGCAGCCCCTGGGGCGGCTGCAGGGCCAGCTGAGGGTGGGAACAGACCCACGTGCCAGGTGCCCCGGGTCTGCTGGGCACCAGGGCCGGGGCCGGTGACACAGGCAGGCGCGGATGTGGCTCCCTCGCCCCGTCCTGCGAGCTCACCAGAGGCAAGTCCATGAGCACCTGCATCCCGTCGCCCGGGCCCATGTGGGCCACGTGGTTGAAGTTGGTCGGGTTGGAGATCATTTTGGACCTCAATTCTGGGTCTCTGAGCATCTCTCTGGGGAAAGAAAGTGTTTCTGGGGCTCAAAGACGTCGAAGTCCTCCTGGCTCCCCTCCTCCCGCCTCGGCGAGGCCGGGCCACGACTCAGCTCTTACCGCCGCTGCTGCAGCCGCTCCTCCTCCGGCACCTTGAACACAAACCGCCTCTTGCTCCTGGTCCGCAGCATCTGCTTCTTGCTGCCGTCGGACGTGTCGGGCACGTTGAGGACCGTTCCTGCGGGAACACACAACGCCGCCGCCGGTCACGCGTGGCCCTCGTGCTGCTGACACGCGGGGCCACTCCTTCCCTCCGCGCGACACCTGCCGCGGGCGTCTTACCCGAGTTCTCGCTCTTGAAGTAGATCAAGCGGGGGGGCTCGCAGCTGAGCAGATTGAGGGTGCCCTCAGAGTTGAGCGGCCTTATCTGCGTCGGAAAGCAGAGAGGGGCGGTAGCAGGGGGCGCCGCACGGGAGGACGCCGGCCCCGCCCCGCCCCGCCCCGCGGC